AGCCCCTCCGCCCCCGGGGGCCTGCCCAGCCCCGGCCGCTGCCCGAGGGGGCTGTGAGAAGCGCCAGCCCTCCGCTGCTCCATCCCAAGGAGCGCGGTGCGGCGCTTCCCGTCGGGTGTTTGCCCGGTACCGGGCCGGGGCGCGGGGTCCCGCCGAGCGGCTGCGGTCGGGCGGTCCCGCCGCTGCCCAAGAACCCACCCTGGAAAAGCCCCCGGGACACGGCCGCACCTCCCGAGGAGGCTGCAGCAGCGCTGCCCCACGGGCTGGGGCGCGGTGAGCGAGATGTGTGCGGGGAGCGGACGGGATGTGGGTCACGGTGAGCCCTGGGACGGGAACGGGTCCATGGGGACACAGCGGAGTTCTGCGCCTCTGCGTGCTTGGGATGGTTGGAGTCGCGATTAGTGGTCCAGCTAAATTAAATCAGGTGGCAGAACGGTACGGTTTGCAATTAGATAAGAGGTACATAAAGTGTAGGAGGACCAATGAAAAACAGGCAAAAAAGCGCAGCGACTGACTTCCAAAAGGAGTGACTTCATTTTACACAGCAACTTTGCACCTTGGTTTTTTTTTTTTTACCAGACAGAAGACTTACATGAATCAAGTGTATAAATAGTGCTATATAGTGACTTTTAAATTACAAGGGCATATGTCTATCTTAGTTTTAGTACGTGATTTTTGCATGTCATCACACGGAGGAGTTTCCTACAATGATGGGAGCCTCTCGTCTGCCACAGAATATCAGAGCAGCCAGGAGGAATGACGCCAAACCACTGCTATGCAGTTAGGCTGCCCTTGATAAAATATGACGCTTCATAAGAAACCGCAGTTTCCGAAAATGTGAAATAACATCAGTTATATAGATGCATCAGTACATCAGTTTATACAGACCAATTGCCATGATACATTTTAAGAGATTGAATGTGAAGATTTTTTAGCTTCTAAAACAAGAGAATAAAAACATCTAGAGATACATGACTGCACTTTTTATTTAGTTTGAAATTCTTGGTGTATTTGCTTTCTTTGGAGAAGGCCTAAGAACTGTTTCTTTCTGCATTTCAATGCACATCTTCTATCTTAACTGGGAGGTAAGTACGTCACAGGAACAGTTTTCACTTTGCTTGGGTAGAGGAGGCTGTTAATTTCATCCATCATTTATACAATATACAGTTGTTAAGAAAAGCTTCATGGTTGTCACTTGTGCTGTGATTGTCATGCATTATGCACTGGAGTAAATTGCATTCAGTGACAACATTTATCTAGAAAATATGAATTTGAGAGAAGAATCTGTGATGTCAATTAATCTACAATTAAGTGTGGATTCTACCCGAAAGTGATTTTTGAATTATCCAGATTTCTTTAAAATGCCTTACCAATTAAAGTAGTTAGATGCGCATTTTGACACAAAACCAGACTGTTAACTCTAATAAGTGTCTCATGTCCTCAGCTAGCTGTACTTTCCATGGTTTCTTTCTCCAACAGATTGGGAAACAGAATGCCATTTGATGGAGCCAGTGAACCTGACCATGCCCGTGGGTCATTAAAGTCAGAATCAGATATTTTGCAGAGCACACTACCTGAAAATGAGAAATTCTATTTTGATCTGTCCAGAATTATTGATAGGTGAGTTCCTTTATTATCATAAATACAAGAGATGATGGACTACTTGATTTCTGCCAAAAAATCATTCGCATTTTCGAAATGAGAATTAAGAAAGGAAGAATCAGTTACGGAAGAAAATCCCACAGCCGCTGCTTGAATAGTGGCAGCAGTAGGGATGTCGGCAGAAATGTTGGGTGTATTGCCATTCTGGCATGATGAGTGCATTCACTTTCCAGGAAGGAGTAAAAAGTATATTGTGAAAATCTGGAAGTTATTCTATGAAATTAGTTCCCCTTTAAGATGTACAATAGTTAAATTAAAGAAAGCAGTATGTTTACAAAATGAACGTTATCAAAATTATATGAACCCAGGCTGTATTGTAGAGTTTATTTATTGTCCATTTCAGAAATGCAAGGCATGCTGATGGAATTTTCACCAGTGTCTACAGCCATCTTTTGGCTAAACTTGCTGTGAAGAGATACATGCATTCGCTTATTAGAAAACGAGTTAGGTGAGGTGACACTTACATTAGGTATATGTTTTTTCCTAGCTGACTTTATCGGCAATTTTTTTACCATTCTGTATCCAAGGCCTCCTTTTTGTGATTTGGAGATACTGAAAGAGAAGCTTATGTAATTATGGGGGAGCTGAAAATCCTGTATAAATATTTAGTGATATTACTAAATGAATATGTTACTATTTATTCCTGACACAGCTGTGAGAGGTAGAGCAACAGACACTGCACAAAGCATGGATAATGTGTACTGGAAATATTATAATGATTATTATGCTGAATTGCTAATTCTTTTTCTCAGTAGTGTTTTTACTAGCTTGGTGGATGAGTGGCAAAAGTAAATACAAAGCGCTACTCAGTACTTACAGGGGAATACAGGGAAATACACAATGAAATCAAGAAACAATTGGTTTATAGTGAAATAGGTACGGTACAGTAAAGGTACAGGTTTTTTTCCTGCTGTAAAACACATTGACAGATGTTTGTGAGATCTGTATTGCAGTGGAATTCAAAAAGAATGAGGCAATTCATAGACCAGGGGTCTGGATGCAACTTCCAGATCAATGCCTTCATAAACTAATGGGCACAGGGTGCTGGGTAGGATCACTCTATACTTTCCTTGTTTTCAAATCCATAAGCAGTAACTGTGAGCCACTGTGACAATACCACTGAATGTCTACTTCATATGCTCAAAAGCTGAGTAAAAATTAGGTCCTTTGTTTGTGTCAATGCTGCCTTTGTTCCAGAACATACAGTTCCAGTTTTTCATATGCTGTAAACTAACATAGACCATTCAAAATAGAACACTCTGACATTTCCCAAGATTGTGCACAAAAAAAGGCCTCCAGGTTTCACTTTCATAAGTTGTGTTTTGTATTCTGAAACCTTAGAACAAGCATTTATAGCTAATGTGATGCTGCACTAACTTTCCTCCGGGGCAGACTCCAGCTCCACTGAGTTCAATGTGAGCAGTGATGAGGTCCTTTAAGAACTTATTGTGACTTAAGCCAGGTTGTACCTTGGCATTGTACTGAAATATATTCACACAAATGACAGAAATTAGAATAAAATCTGTTTATTGAAAGGTGCAACCTGGGGTGTGAGAACAGGCAGGAGAGTGTCATGAAATCCACACTTAACCGCTTGATCTTGCAGAAATCCTGGGACAAGGACTTTAGAAATCATTGACTGCGTTTCCAAATTGTATAGGCCATGGCAAAACTGAGAAGAGAAAACAATCAGTCAGTGGAAGGTGTGTCCCAAAAGGCTGAATAACAATCTTTGGAATTTGAACTTTGTTATTAAAATACACAGTAAGCAGTTGAAGCAATGGCTTCTTTTCAGCAGAAGAAAGATCCAAAGTCATAGATGGAAATGAAAGCTGAAATGAAAATTTGATTTTATTAGGCTAATCAATATCATAAAGCTTGTTTCACTCATTTAGTGGTATTTTCTTTTAAACAGATATAATATCTTATTTTTTCCTTTGTAATTATTTTGTTGCCAGCTCCCAGGACAGTCCTGTCAAACGCCACTCTGACGCTGTCTTCACCGACAACTACAGCCGCTTTCGAAAGCAGATGGCTGTGAAGAAATACTTAAACTCAGTCTTAACCGGAAAAAGAAGGTACTACAGGAAAGCCCATATGTATTCTTTCCTTACTTCTGTGGCATTAAGACAGAAAAAGTTTACATCCATGTTTGTATACAGAGAGGCCAAGCAAAAGGTGCTGAACATTAATGACTCCATAGCATGGTTTATAGCATGGCTTTCAAATACAGACAACATTTTTTCCCTGACTGGAACAGACACCACAATCAGATTAGAACAGAAGAATAAAGAGAAGATGGCATCTGGCAATTTTAAAAATCTTCCGACAGATCCTTAAATTGTTTTTTATTAGAAAAAATCTTCTTAAGGAAAAAACCCATGGAGCTATGGAACACGAGCAACAATTTTATAAAAAATACCTTGAAAATTTGCCTCTCTGTAAACACATGAAATGAAAATTTGTAAATATGTTCTAATCGGTATAGGTGAGATGCGCCACCATGTGTTTTTGTAGACCTTGCATTCCTTATTTAAACAACCCATTTAAACAATTGCTTTTAAATATCATTATTCAGTAAACATGCTATTTCATATGTTCTGTAACACCTTGGTCTAAGTGCAAGAAAAAGTGCAGAAGCTACAGTTAGAAGAAGGCTTTGCTTTCTTTGCTTTTTCTTCTGAAAGCAATAAAACTTGTTTCTCATCCTCAACAGCCAGGAAGAGCTAAATCCTGCTAAACTTCGAGATGAAGCAGAACTTCTTGAACCATCCTTTTCAGAAAACTACGATTCTGTAGATGAGCTGCTCAGCCACCTCCCACTGGTATGCCAAGATTGCCTTTTCTATTGCTATCTGTTACTTGACTTGACCCATAAAATGAGATTAATTGTACATGAAGTGTGGCCTATCAGAACATCAGGAAAGGGAGTCATGTTCCATGAAAAGCTTTATGTTTCTACCGAGATTGTGCCTGAATAAAATAATAATAATTTCAATAATAAGCTTTAAGTTATCCCATGATTGCTGCTATTGACAATTCCTAATTAAATGGCACTCTTCATAATGCACCTAACTCACTTGGGTGTTTCAACCAGTGTGCACTGCAGCATAAAATCAGAAGTGAATCATTTTTAATTACAAAGATCATTATTTCTTCAGAGAACAAATTTGAGGATATTTCTTTTAATTAAAAAAAAAAAAAAAGCTGCAGATTTTTTAACATCTTTTTCATTAGAAAGGAGTTGCCCCTACAGCTAAGAGCATCAGCAAGATGAACCTTATGCTTTAAGAAAGTACTTGACATGCAAATCTTGCAGTTACTGTTTTCTATTTAGCTACTACTATTTTTCCTAAAGTAATTTACAATTATTTTTTCTTTGGTTTACTGAAGAGTAAACCCTTCTACATCAACACTTGCAGGAGCATAACATTGAAAGGATAAGGTAGAAGACAATTTGGCTTGGTATTGTTGAAAGTGTATTATGAAATTGATTAAAGGATAGTTTTTAGCATTCAGCTGTGTCTCAAAAAGTAAGAAAAAAAATTAAAAGGCTATTCTTGAAGATAAAATTTGGATATGTCTTTAAAAGACATAAAGTATGTCTTTTCTTGTATCATCCCCAAGCACCCATCCCCCTGCCCCAAAATAGATGTTGTTTCCTTTCAATTGAAATAAAATGAGAAAGTGTTCTCCTTTCCACAAATGTGGCACTTCCTCTAGTGTCCTAAAGGTTAGAAACAACATAAACTGCTTATGCACTGAGCACTTAAATAATTTGTAAGAAACATGATACTGGAAAGAAATATTCTTTCCGGGGAAGATTAATGCAAAAAAAAATATCTGCTCTTGGATTTTGCACCTTCTCAGAGTTCTGGTATTAACTAAGGGAGAAAGAGTAGTGGTGCAGCAGGTCACAGATGTCTTCCTGAAAACATTTTCAGTCCTTTCTGTTTTTATTGGCTTTACTGATGAGGCAGATCTGCACGGAGGTGAAGCAGTATTGACTGTTACTTGTCATTTTATTGCAGTGCCCGGTTGCTAATGTAGTGTGGAATGAGCAACCTGAATTTGTGTATCCATTTCAAGGATACAGGTTTTTTTTTTTCCAAAGTGAGCAGCTCTGTGCTGTAGGCTAATGTGCAGTAACATTTTCCTCTAGTCCCTCAACCTTTCTTTTCTCATCCCGTGGTCTTGTCTGACTGCAATGCCCACCAAACTCCTGTGAGCAGCCACATCTCAGCTTGTCAGCCCCAAGAGCAGCAATTGCTTTATATCAAGTTTTACTCATTGCCTGCTGTCTGCCCTCATATACCTCATGATACAACTGCTTGCAAAGTTGACTTCTAAAGCACATCTCTCCTTTGCTTTTCAGGACCTCTGAAGGACACCTGGTAAAGTCTGTGACAAGAACAAGCTATTTTTGAGTTCCACATAGTATTTCAAAGAGATGACTTTAGTCATCAAACCAGAACAAATATGTTGTGAAGTGAAAGTTGTGATATATTTGTTTCTTACGTAATAAAAGTTGATATTTACATTGTAAATATTACTCTAGAGTTCTCTACTGAAAGCTGTACATATGGATGCCAGTTTAACTCATGAGAAGTCTGTGAGTCCATATGCTGTAAATCCTTTACTTCAATAAATTCATTTGAAAATGAGTGTGCAGCTGAAAAGAGCCCATCATGACTAATTAATTGGCTTATTTCAGGTGTGTTACAACTTCAGACAAATGTGTAATAACAAGGAAACATTTCTAGATAGCCTCATAAAGAACATGTAACAACATGAGGAGAAGAATGTCCCAAGTATGTAAAACTGCTTTGCAAAGATCTCTGAAAGTTATTGCCATGCAAAAGGGAATGCTTTTCTAGCAGTTTACCCAGCAAGTAGAAAAAATGAATAAGAATTAAAAATGTTTTGACCGCCAGCAGTATCTTTACTTCTGGTTCATATTTTTAATATTTCACAATGTATAAATTATATTAAGACCAGAAATATCTCCTTTATTTTCAGCTGTGTTTCAGATGCTCTGGAGCTGGCAAAGCGCTAAAAGAATGCAATCTTTTGACTTGTTTGATGCCTAAAGTCATCAGTTATTCTACATTTAATTGTCTGTAGCTTTGATGATGAAACTATTGCTTATATATAAAATAGACCTGAAGACAGTTTACTATTTTTTCAGAATGAATGTAATTTACAGATTATGCAGACAATAAATAATTTTATTATCATGGCAATCTATTACTGGTTTGAATCAGTGCTACAGTTCCCTGGAACAGCAGAAGTCCCCGTAAGTGCTGCCTGTACTATAGCAATAGGGGAAGATAATATTTTTAACTGATTTATGCTATATTATTTTAGAAAGACAAGCAAATAAACATCCAGGCCCCTTTTCTTTAGCTTTCAATTGTTGTAGATGACCATGGAACTGAAAATTTGCAGCTGTTTGATTCACAGCACTGATGTAGAAAGTAGAAAAACTTATCAGACCTACTTACAAACTCAATTTGGAATTTCAAATATATTTATAAATCATACATATGCACACATAGACAGTGATAAAACTGATTTGCAAGTTTCACTTACAAGTTTACTGTTCTCATTTAGAAAGAAACTTCTAACATGATAAAATCTGAGATTTATGGAGACTAGTTCTCATAAATATGTAGCCCTCCGATTTGCAATTTTTTTCTTTTTGAATATTGGCAACTGCATGTCAAAAGAAAACCAGCTTTCACAGATCAGGTGCTAATATTGCTATTTCTATCTAGCCTTGACAGAATCTATTTTAGCCTAAGCCAATGAGTGGTTCACAAAAGTTATATTTTCACAAAAGACATAATTTTGAAGTCTTCTCTTGAAACGTGGTTTTCCACCCCCAATTCCTATCATGTTATGAACATCTGAAAGCAAAAATGTCTTTGTAAATACTTTAAAAATACTAACAGACTGATGCTATAATACTTTCTTAGAAATTTTCCTCAGTGTATTTTGAACTCTGTTAGTATTTCTGTGAGATGTAATCATTAAAAAAATAAGTGAAAAAACCAACCAGAAGCAAAGCTGCATATGGTCTTTCTACACTGAATTCTTTTTAAATGTATGTTATTCACTCAATTTAAAGTATCAAAAATTGGAGTAGTAAAACTTTTGACTACAAAATTCCAGAAATATTTTTTCCTAAATTTTTCTTTCAATTATTTTTCTTTTTTTATTTCCTGCTTACCAATAAGGCATCTGATGGAAGAACTTGTCTTTCATGTCTAATGTATGATCTTCCTGATATTCCTGATACTTTGTTCCCCATAGAAAACTGCAGAATTTGGAACCTGTATTTTCCCTTTTTCCCTGTTACATGAAGATAGAGAAGAAAACAGAGAAGCTTATTAGGAAATCATACATACATATATATATAATACCATGGTAGCTTCCCCTGAGAGTTAGCAAATAGTGACAGTCTAAAAAGCATGCTGAATTTTGTGTACATTGTAGCAAAACCCAGCACTGACAGGAGAGGCACTAACTTACAGAGTAACATCTTTGGCTTGGCATTTGCATTAAAGGATGGCTTCTAACTTGTTACAGAAACCTTTTGACTTTCTGGAGAGGATTTAAACCCAATTAATTCAGTGAGAGTAGTTAATTGAGGAAGAAGTAACATTGTTCACCTCAAGCCCAGGGGCAAGTGGTCATGGTAAGGTTAAATGATAAAATTAAGGAGAAATCGTAACATTTCACTAAATGACACAAGTTTTCATCCTTTCCATGATTTGATACATCCCCCCACCGATCTTAAATCCCATCTGCAAAATGTCTTAAGAGTGGAATCAAAACACTGCATTGTTAGGCTAATGAATAAGTCAGCCACAAAGGGAGTGTCAGGAGAACTGCTTGGATGGAAAAAAAATACCCTGGAGATTTAGAAGAGCACCACTGACAGGGAGAATGCAACCTCTGGGGAGGAAGGAATAAAACTGTGATGGGTTATTGGGGTATTTATTAAAGGAAAATCTCACGTTTCTTCAGAATTTCACTTCTAACACACGGTAGGAATACCTGTGGTCTTTCAGGATAGAACAAATTAGTTTTTGTTTTATAGAATGGTGTTTGCTTTTTAAAGCTTTCCTTTGGAGCTTTTAAAGAAAGGTGGAGATTCATCCTTTAAGTGTATCTTCACCAGCACTAGAAGAGGATCTTTTTTTTGGTCCTAAATCCATAGAGAGGATTTACATGCTTGTGTGCATCTGTGCATTCATCATCCATTCAAGAATAGTCAGAATTGTGTATAACACCATGAGAATCACAAAAGTTGACAAAACAATTTAAGATTACAGCCAGTAAAGCACATTAAAAACAAATAAACTGCTAACAGCCCCTCTGATATTTTAAATGGATTTGGCGGGCTATGAGTGTTTGTTCCACCTGAAAGTCTGAGAAAAAAATTTCTGTTGAAAACTATGGAAATGGGTAGCTTTGATCCAAAGCATAGTTATAATTTTGTATATAGGCATATTGAATTCTCCCCAAAGAAGGACCTTTTGGAAAGAGATGTATGCATACAAGAATAATTTATTTGCTTACAAGATATTGGGGGCAGGGAGATAGAAAAGGCTGCCTACTGCCTTTAATGATATTACTTCTGCTTTCCACTACCTCTTTTATTTTGCCTAATTTTCCCTCTCCCTCCTCCTACTTACCACAGGCTTTCCCACACTTTATTAATCTCACCGTTGCCTTGCAACGTTGGTGTATGAATATATCCCTTCTCTTTTGAGAAGAGGAATTAGAGCAGGATTTCAGTTTAGGGCGCAGCAATCTAGGAACTGCCAGCCTTGTCGATGGAGAGGAGAGTTGCAGACAACCTGGCACAACCAGATTTGCAGGAGCAGCCTGTCCTGCTCACAAACAGTTCCTGGCTTACCACTGGAGACTTCCCATTTGCTGTGTGGCTGGCAGAGAAGACTGACCTCTCCTTGGATATGTCAAACAGAACACTTTTCCTCCTGGGGCTTGCTCTGGCTCAGGCAACTACTGTATTTTCAGCTTTTCTCTTTTCTGACCTGAAGCATTCACAGATAAATTGCTTGCCAGCTTGCCAAATTGGTTTAGGGCTGGAAGTAGGAAACTAGGCACCCATCTTTTGCACCAATCTTTAAAAAGTCCAAAGAATAATTTGATGCATATTCTTCTTCTGATGTAAACAAACAAGAAAGGTTTTATTTCAGTTTTGCACGCACATACATGCTGGCCACTTAGGGAGGGGGAAAAAAAGCAATTTTTCCTTGTGAGGATAAATATTTTCAAAAACTAAATTAATCAACATTTGCAAATAAAAATATGATTGGCTATTCAAAATTAAACTGAAAACTACATAAATCATAATGATACATTAAAAAGAGATACATATCTAAATATCAACACTGTCATGGTAAGAACAATATTTTCAGTAGAGCATATATTTGAGAAAGAATGGGGTTGTTTCCATAATGAGATGAAAAAAAGAGTAAAATGATCTTGTTCTTCCCCACTGAGCAGATTATTTAGCATTAGATCAATTTTTGCATAGGATAATATGCTTAGAAGAATGTACATGAGAAAGGTGCATAAGATCCATTTTCTGTACCCTTTTCTAGAACTGCTCTGAACATTTCAATGAGACCACAGCATCTAATAGCCTAATTTATTTCTAAACACGGGATATAAATGATTTTAGTATGTAGATGCAGTTATTTAATAGTTTTCTAGTCAGAATTTATCCAACACATATCTTCTTTTTGGAATGGCAGGAAAGCAGAAGAAAGTCTAAAAACAGTCACTGTCTTCTGTTAGATGAGATGTATCTGTGAAGACCTTTCTACTTAGGAAGTGTACTCAGAGCAGCAACTTTTGTCAGTAGCTTATAGAATAGCAAAGCTGTTGACTGGAGGTGTCAAGTTTTTACACATCAGCTTTTTGATAGAGAAGAATTCATTTATATGAAGCCTGGGTTGGCTCCTAGTTGTTTGCTTGCTTTATACACTATTGAATTGCTTTTCACAGAAAGTGGTCACAAGTACGTTTGACAGATGTCTTACCACCATTTGTTTCTATTCTAACACAGTTCTTAATCTTTGTTTTTCAGACAGTCCCTCTTCCCATAATCACAGCCAGAACATCTGCACACTGGTTAAAGCAAGCAATTTTCTCTTATTAGGGAGTATAGAAAGCAAACTACTGCATTCTAGGAAGACTCCTCATGAAAAGGCTAAGGATATATAATTTATGCAGAAAGACTGAGTCTTGGTTAAAAATAAAGTCCGAAAAATTCAAGATTTGGTGTCAATAGTTTCAGTCTCATCTGATGATTCCTTCCACAGCAGCGCATTGTACTTGGAGTTCCAAAGCTGGTGTCAGAGCTCTGGGCTTGAGATTGTAGTAAGGAAGAAGAAACTGGTAAATGTTGAGGTAGAGCAGGTGAAGACGATATCTTCAAAAAAACACCTGATGTTAAACTTAGTTTATGTAGGGCTGTTTGTTTCCTGTAGGGTTAAGACTCTTGCTTCAAGAAGAAATAGCTGTCTCTTGCTGTCAGAGGACCTCACATTATGCAAGTTCATTCATTAACTCAGCAAACTCCCTTAGGAGCACAGCTGGATTGTTTGTCCCCTAATTCTGATGCTGCACAGATCTAGCAGCTGTACTTGTTAGGAACCTTCTTTTTACTGGCAGCCTAAATTCATACACATATTTTCAAACATTTCTTACCGTTCTAATCTCCCCATTGTAGGAGTACCTTTACTATTCTCAGGAACATGTATTCCTAGATACATTTATAGACTGCTTTTCCCTCCTAGCCCTGTTTTGTTAGGCTGAATAAAGAGTTTGTCTTGTCCAAGAATGTAAATGAATCCATATTTCCAAGACCGCCCTGGAGCCCCATGCCCAGTTGGCTCATGTTCTGTAATGAGTTTAACACTCCTAAATTACTGTGTGCTAGCTGAATCTGAAAGTCTCTTCTTTATTGCAGACATTTAGGAAAAGTGAATTAGTGATTTTGAAGGCCTCTGTCTTGAAGGTCTTCGAAGAGCTGATTTTTCAGTCTATTTTTTTGGTTGTTGCTTCTCAAACATCTGTGAGTTTTCTGAAGTTGAGAAAACAGAATCACTGAGACTTGATACTGGGTACCTTTTTTGGAGCGAGTGGAGGAGTCACTCAATTCAGTCTAAAATGCATGTAAAGCAAAATGCCATTC